ACTACATGGTGTTAAAAACATTCATGCTGTTGAAGTTTATATACATGTACAGACATTTGTTGCTCTATTTGTTGATAAATTGTTCAGCTTAATTGAGTTATGATTGAACTTAGGATGTCTCTGTACACCATGTAAGTAAAATTAAGCTGACTGCTAATCCCTAAGAATATTCGTCAGGGAAGTTTAAGGTGTTGATGTGAAAAGGACTGACCATATACCAGTGTTACATAGAGGATATTATATGAGTGCCCATGTCATACTATATTTACGACACGAGTGCCTAAATGTTGGTATTTCCCGAGCGAGAGCGAGGGATATACCGATCTTTAGGCACGAGTGTCGTAAACATAGTATGATATGGGCACGAATATAATATTCTGTTTATTACCAAAGTCGTCAAATTGAGAAAAATACAACCAAATCTACTTTCAAACATGGGCTTGCTACCCGCCGTCGCCGCATGTAGAACGCAACGTCATAGAAGAAACGTGACGTCAGAGCATTGTCCATGACGTCACGTCACCATGACAAAGTGATATTTTGCCCTATGGCATCGTATGAAAAATATGAACCCCGATATTTTCGCCCTCATAGGTAATAAGTAGAGATTATTACACTTCATTTTTCATATCTTGCCCGATATCATCCCGAGACACCCATATCTGACCGAGGCCATCAGGCTGAGGTCAGATATGGGTTGAGGGATGATATCGGACAAGATATGAAAAATTAAGTGTAATAATCTTTTTATCAATTAATACCTGCCTAAATTAAGATTTTTTTCAGTTAGATGTTGTTGTTTTTTTATCTCTTTGTCCAAATAAACGTTGTTTATAAAAAATAACTGATACAAACAACAAAGACAAATATTCCGTATAAACTCAGAAAACATAGAAATACACCTTCAACATACTGCATCGTTTCGATTTCCATATTTCCTTCGTCCTCCCTCTCCACTAAATCTTCCAGTTGAAGATAAAGACTCTAGCGTCCTTTCCCCAGCCATGATCAAAGGATGATCTAACATGACGTCATCTCTATGTTGTCATTCTTGATGTGACATCATTCGATTCATTACGTTCCGTGACATGTACAAAATTGACGGGGAAGATATCGATATCTTCCCTCCTCTCAGCGGGCAAGATATCGATATCTCGCCCGGGGCCAGATATGACCATGCCGATCCTGCCCATATCGGGTGGCAAAAAAAGTCTATATCAGGGAAAATATCACTGTATTAAGTTTCAGATCGCTTCATGGAAGTTAAAGAATCAAAACTACTTACTAGTTGTAGGAAAAATATGTATATGATTGATGACCATAAAGATTTTCCATGACACAACTTTGTAACATAACGATTTCTTCCTCGAAGCGAGGTTGTGGTCAAGTAACAATAATATTGTAAGTAGTATCATATTGACACCCACCTGCGCTGCCAGGAAGGAAATTGTTATGTTATAAATCATCATGCAAAATCCTATTGGTCATCAATAAAATACATATTTACTAATGTAAAATAGTTTTGATTTTAGTAACTCGGTGAAAACAAACCTAAATACCATTTATCCTCAGACTGGCGGATGTTCCCTACAGGCGCCGCCATTTTAAAAAATAGAAAAATCTGTTAGAATTAATGAGATTATAGTTTGTTTTCATCAAGTTAGAAAATCAAAACTACTTTCTACTCAGAAGTTAAATATGTATTGGAATCATAACCAAACGGATTTTGCATGACACAACTTATAACATAACGATTTCTTCCACGAAGGCCAGGTGGGGGTCAAGTCACAATACTCGCGCGATAAATTTCTTGCTACATTCACATGGTTAATGTCCACTCACCAGTATGTAGATACTAGTCAATGTGCTAGTCTTTATATTTGGTCTTATAGTCCTAATTAGTTTATTATCATACTTGTATGCATTTTGAAAGTAAATAAAAAGCATGCGATCTGCTGATACTTATAGTGAATTTATAACAGAACTGTAATATCTAGACATTTTATAGTTTGCCAATGTGAATCATAATTGCACACACACCCTAGTGTATGTTGTCTGTCTCATTACACTTCACGTGAAAAACAATGATTCTGTTGAATGCTACGACAAATGAATAAAACAAAATGCAAATATTAAAATTAAAACAGATTAAAGTTATAGGAACAATATCAGGCCATTACCTTGTTCGAGGAATGTATCCATCAATATCCACAAAACTGTTCCAAATGATGTGTCTTTTTAACAGTTTAATATACCTAAAAAGTGATAAATCTTTTCAGGTATTGGTGTATAGTCTCATTGGTCACCCAAGATAGCACACCTGGCAACTAATTGCATAATGTCTGCCTTTCTTTAAAAACAGTAATTTAGTTATCCAATAATGGGCAATCAATCAATGTATTGCCGGTTAATCCTTTGAAAGAAGGACGTTGTTTTTACGCAGACACACCGACACGACAGAGTGTATTCAGTATAGATTAGTAAATCTACATACATAAACACTACCTTTTGACAATTCCGCTGTGTAAGATAAAAGTAATTAATCAATCAGCGTGTTATCGGGTTAATCCTTTGATCGATGTTTATAATGTTGAATATTTACTCCAGACACAAGAAATGCCAAATGGGAACCTTTGTCGGGTAATCTAAGTGTGTTACCACTAATTATACCTGTTATAAATTCATTAACTGACCATCAAGTGAATGATGACAAATAACATGTGTAGGTTTATACCACCTAATGTGACAATGCATTGTATCTCAATTGTATGTCCAAGAAGAAAATATGCTAATATAGTTGATTCTAAGTTTGTGTTAATGAATCACAATAAAGTGGTCATGATAACAGGTGCCTATAAATCTTATTTAGTTCATATAGCCGTATACCTTTCAATCGTCATTTCATCCAAATTCTTTTTTGAAACCTTTATACAATCAACACAATTACAGAAAATTCATATTTGTCATTTGGATATGTTCAGACATTTTTATACATGCCTAGTATCATTTTACCACAATACTGAAGAAGGTTGAAGCAGAGACCATATAATATTATATGGTCTCTGGTTGAAGGCACACAAACAACGATGTATTGTTGTTATTTAGGGGTTATTTTTGCCTGAATTCACATGTTATTCATATACTTTTCATATATAAACTATACCATATGGGTTATATTGAAATTCCAGAGGATAAAGAAGAAAGTGGGAATATGGCCTTCATTAACATAGAGAGGGTTAAAAGGTTTCTGAGTGAAGTTAAGGACATGTTCAGAGATATACTCTCCCAAACAATGCTTGATAAAGTTTACATGTGGTTCTTGTTGTCCTCTAGTGCTTTATGGATTTTTGTTGCCATTTGTAATTTTATTGCCATTTGTGTTCTATATTGCACTGCAGAGTAGAATTCGGTCAGGTTATGAATAAAATATTCTGTTTTGTTGTCTTTGGGAGTATTTTGATAATTGGAATTTCAGTTAGTGTGGAAAAATGAATAAAATATCGCCAAATGTGATGGTGTTTATGTTTGTGGGAGTTTGATGCTTTTATTGAAGGATTAGGACATTACCAATACAAGAGCCATTTACTAATTAGGTAAAGAATTACATGTATTTTGCCATGTCGCTTTGACATGACAGTGACACTAGCTTTCTGGGAAGTGAACAAAGTTGAAGTAATTCCAAAATGGTGATTACTGAAGTTAGAAATATCGAGGAATCACAATGTTGTCATTATCAGTAAATGTGTTCCAGTGATTTGCATTGCAAGAAAGAAAAGATCTGTTGTGAATAGTTGGTCCGTTTGACATTATCAGTAAATGTCTTCTGTTGATTTTCATTGCAAGAAAGAAAAGATCTGTTGTGAATAGTTGGTCAATTTGACATGTATTAGCCATCAATTAAACATAGTATATAATGACAGTAAGAGAAATCAAGAAATAAGGTTTTCTGAACCTATTGTAGTAATCAATATGATCTTGTCTGTCTGTGTTAGCAAGGTGTGAATGAACTTGGTACAAGTTGTTGAATATTGTCTAAGTAGCACTTCCTGCAGTTGTAGACAGTTTAGAAATATGTATTGCACAGCTCTGAAAGTTTCTAAGTTTAGCAGTGAATCACAAACAGACATCTACAAGCATATACTGAGATATCAGTGTACTGCTTCAGTAGATTATGATGAAAATCCTTAGAGCACAGTCAGAGTATCTTATAATATGAGCCTGCTGACAATAGTGAGTGAGTTTAGTTTTACACTGCTTTTAGCAGTATTCCAGCAATATCACAGCGAGGGACACCAGAAATGGGCTTCACACATTGTACCCATGTGGGGAATCAAACCCGGGACTTTGGCGTGACAATCGAGCACTTTAACCACTAGGGGAACCCACCGCCCCTGCTGACAATAATCATTATCATAACCAGCTGACTGTTGATGTTTGCATAATGACCTGGCATATCCTACTTACTCTGTTGGTGCATGACCTAGTTATGCCCATACCTTTTGGGTTATATCAGACAATACACTCATAGTTTTAATGAAACTCCTGACGAGGTTGGGTTATAACAAACCTGATTGTTGTAGGAGGGTCAAATCACAAGAACTATTACCATGAGACAATTATAGGAAGCTAACATACCTATACATGTAAACAGAAATGAGCAGCATATTGGTTGATTCCTCTTGGGAAAAAAGAGAAAGTGAAATATTTTAATAATTAGAAATAATAGAAACAATGGCAACAAAACCACAAGAGGAATACAAATACTGGCATCAAGGTGGGCCTGTAAATGATCAAGTCTGAAACAAACAATCAGGGGATTTATAGAGTGGAATATCATCTATGCGATGAGGGTGCCATGGCCATGAGTTCAAGATACTAGAGACCTATTTTCCCTACAGGGGTAAAAGGACGTATGTCAGTCATACTTTTACCAGAGTATGTCATACTATATTTCTGGTGTATATTTTGCCATTACTTCATACCTCATGATAATGTTTCAGGGTCGAGGGGGTCTTGGTTCAATCTTCGTCTGGGCATCAGGTAATGGTGGCCGTGATGGTGACAACTGCAACTGTGATGGCTACACCAACAGCATCTACACCCTGTCTATCAGCAGTGCCACAGAGAATGGAAAGATCCCCTGGTACTCCGAGGCCTGCTCATCAACACTTGCAACAACATACAGCAGTGGCTCTGGTGGAGAAAAACAAATTGTAAGATTTAACACTTAGGTTTTCTCAGATCTGGACCAGCATAATTCTGTCTTAGTATCAAGCATAAAGTCCTAAACCTTAAGTTTACCTTCAGAGAATGTATTAGAGATCTAGAATGTGGAACCTTTCATATTTGCTAGTTTTCCATGTTTGGCACCACTGGCCAGTATATAATATATTTAGAGGTGAGACATTAACTGTAATTGGCTCATTCGCTGTAGTGAATATGTTCTGGAGCCAATATTGTCTTCTCTATTGCATGAAATATTGTGCATTTATGACACTGTAGCAACATAGGTCTATAACAATGATTCTTGGAACTTGTTAATCTGGGCAAGTTTTTCTTTGAATAATACTGCTGTTGTATACATACTTTCACCATACATGCTTCTAATCATGAGGCATCAGTCAGATTGTTTCTCATTTCGGTATTATTGAACAGTATGCACTTGCAATAGACAATCACTGGTAAATGAATGCTCTTGCAACAATCAAAAGAAACAAAATGTGCCCGTAATAGACAATGGCCAGAAAGGGAATCCAGACAATCAACAGAAAGGATTTGCACTTGCATCAGACTGGTAATCTGTCATGAAAAGCAGTTGCCATAGGCAACACTACACTATCAACGAAATATAAACCTGCAACAGATCGACAATCACCTATAGGGAAATGTGCTTACAACAGACAATCACTAGTAAGTAATCACACTTGCACGAGACAATCACTAATAATAAGTAATCACACTTGCACGAGACAATCACTAATAATAAGTAATCACACTTGCACGAGACAATCACTAGTAAGTAATCACACTTGCAGTAGACAATCACTTGTAAGTAATCACACTTGCAGTAGACAATCACTAACCAGGAATCACACTTCCAGTAGACAATCACTAACCAGGAATCACACTTCCAGTAGACAATCACTAACCAGGAATCACACTTGCAGTAGACAATCGCTAACCAGGAATCACACTTGCAGTAGACAATCGCTAACCAGGAATCACACTTGCAGTAAACAATCACTAACCAGGAATCACACTTGCAGTATACAATCGCTAACCAGGAATCACACTTGCAGTAAACAATCACTAACCAGGAATCACACTTGCAGTAAACAATCACTAATCAGTTATCATATTACAGTAGACAATCCCTTATCAGTTATCATATTGCAGTAAACAATCACTAATCAGTTATCATATTGCAGTAGACAATCACTAACCAGGAATCACACTTGCAGTAAACAATCACTAATCAGTTATCATATTGCAGTAGACAATCACTAATCAGTTATCATATTGCAGTAGACAATCACTAACCAGGAATCACATTGCAGTAAACAGTAGTTATCAATCAGTAGACTAACCAGGAATCACACTTGCAGTAAACAATCACTTGCAGTAAATCAGTTATCATATTGCAGTAAACAATCACTAATCAGTTATCATATTGCAGTAGACAATCACTAACCAGTTATCACAATCGGTACTTGCAGTAAACAATCACTAACCAGGAATCAGCAGTAAACAATCACTAATCAGGAATCACACTTGCAGTAAACAATCACTAATCAGTTATCATATTGCAGTAAACAATCACTAATCAGTTATCATATTGCAGTAAACAATCACTAATCAGTTATCATATTGCAGTAAACAATCACTAATCAGTTATCATATTGCAGTAAACAATCACTAACCAGGAATCACACTTGCAGTAAACAATCACTAATCAGTTATCATATTGCAGTAGACAATCACTAACCAATCACTAATCACTAACCACTTGCAGTAAACAATCAATCAGTTATCATGCGGTGACAGACAGTCACTAATCAGTTATCATATTGCAGTAAACAATCACTAATCAGTTATCATATTGCAGTAAACAATCACTAATCAGTTATCATGTTGCAGTAAACAGTCAATCAGTAAACAATCACTAATCAGTTATCATATTGCAGTAAACAATCACTAATCAGTTATCATATTGCAGTAGACACAATCACTAATCAGCAGTAAACAATCACTAATCAGTTATCATAGTGCAATCGCTAACCAGGAATCACACTTGCAGTTATCATCACTAATCAGCATATTGCAGTAAACAATCACTAATCAGTTATCATATTGCAGTAAACAATCACTAATCAGTTATCATCACTAATCAGTTATCATATTGCAGTAGACAATCACTAACCAGGAATCAATCCAGTTATCTTTGCAGTAAACAATCACTAATCAGTTATCATATTGCAGTTATCATAATCACTAATCAGTTATCACATTGCAATCACTAACCAGGAATCACACTTGCAGTTGCAAACAATCACTAATCAGTTATCATATTGCAGTATCACTAATCAGTTATCATATTGCAGTAAACAATCGTTATCATATTGCAGTAAACAATCACTAATCAGTTATCATATTGCAGTAAACAATCACTAACCAGGAATCACACTTTGTAAACAATCACTAATCAGCAGTAAACAATCACTAACCAGGAGTTATCACACTTGCAGTAAACAATCACTAATCAGTTATCATATTGCAGTAGCAATACTAACCAGGAATCAATCACTAATCAGTTATCATATTGCAGTAAACAATCACTAATCAGTTATCATATTGCAGTAAACAATCACTAATCAGTTATCATATTGCAGTAAACAATCACTAACCAGGAATCACACTTGCAGTAAACAATCACTAATCAGTTATCATATTGCAGTAAACAATCACTAACCAGGAATCACACTTGCAGTAAACAATCACTAATCAGTTATCATATTGCAGTAAACAGTCACTAATCAGTTATCATATTGCAGTAAACAATCACTAATCAGTTATCATATTGCAGTAAACAATCACTAATCAGTTATCATATTGCAGTAGACAATCACTAACCAGGAATCACACATGCAGTAAACAATCACTAATCACAATCACTAATCAGTTATCATCATTGCAGTAAACAATCACTAATCAGTTATCATATTGCAGTAAACAATCACTAATCAGTTATCATATTGCAGTAAACAATCACTAATCACTAATCAGTTATCATATTGCAGTAAACAATCACTAATCAGTTATCATATTGCAGTAAACAATCACTAATCAGTTATCATATTGCAGTAAACAATCACTAATCAGTTATCATATTGCAGTAAACAATCACTAATCAGTTATCATATTGCAGTAAACAATCACTATTGCAGTAAACAATCACTAATCAGTTATCATATTGCAGTAGACAATCACTAATCAGTTATCATATTGCAGTAAACAATCACTAATCAGTTATCATATTGCAGTAAACAATCACTAATCAGTTATCATATTGCAGTAAACAATCACTAATCAGTTATCATATTGCAGTAAACAATCACTAACCAGGAATCACACTTGCAGTAAACAATCACTAATCAGTTATCATATTGCAGTAAACAATCACTAATCAGTTATCATATTGCAGTAGACAATCACTAATCAGTTATCATATTGCAGTAAACAATCACTAATCAGTTATCATATTGCAGTAGACAACTGCTATTAAGGAATGCCATTTGTTTCATCAGGTAACAACTGATTTACGCAATGGATGCACTGAAAACCACACGGGGACGTCAGCCAGTGCTCCCCTAGCTGCAGGAATCATTGCCCTAGCATTACAGGCCAAGTGAGTAGTAGCTTTCAGCAGAGAAAGAGTATCCGTATTACCCCTTCTGGATTAACAACAGTATACATCGTCCATTCATCATCATCATTATTGTTTGATACTTTAAGTGGATCACTCAAAGGTCAGTTATTCTGGTGGTATTGACTGAAATATCGGTCACACTAAGAGGTCACTCTTGCTTGACAATGGTATAAGAACCTATGCCAGTGGTGGATACAGCTTTTTGAGAAAGGGGGGTGCACAGTTCATTTTGACCTTTTTCACCTTTTTCATTTTCACCGTTTCAGTGGTCATTTAATAAACTTTCAAGACAAAAGGGGTGAGTGGGGAGGGGTGGGGGTGCGCATCCCCCATCTGGATCCGTCTAAGCTATACCGAATCGTTGCATCATAATATAATAAAGAAGTTGTCGTCCATAAACATCTGACTTTTCTGTTTATTCATCAACTTAAGCTATAATGCCAATCAAACAGATCAAGGTATAAGTAGATACTCAACAATCAAATGTATAACAATACTGATAGATGTACAATTGTGTTCCACTCTGTTGCAGCCCTCATTTAACATGGCGGGATATGCAGCACCTTGTGGTGGAGACAGCCAAGCCTGACCACCTTATATCTCATGACTGGGTTGTAAATGGCATTGGTAAAAGAGGTAAGTCTGTGATAGGTGTCCTACGCACAAGGGGTTCTATTTCACACATGGGTTTTTTGTTGGTCATGGTAGGAGAGTAGAGTTTAATGTTTTCAGCAGTATCTCACAATGTTGCAAAAGGAACACCAAAAAGGAAATGACTTTACATTTTGATCAAGGTTTGGGCTCAGTGTACAATGATGACAATACAGTTGCCAAACTAAAAACAATTATTTCCTTCCTTTAATGTTCTTTACTTGCATCATTATGATTTTTCTCCTGTATTGAGTATTAAAACATTTTATTCAGATATTAGTGTAACATGATGTGAAGGAAGTGATGATTCATAAGTTCTCAGCCTTATTGATAAAGAGTTGTGTAAAAGTGATGCAGAGTTTAAGCATGATAAGGATGGCTTGGAAGAAACCCTTCAAAACCTGACATCAGCAACACCTGAAATGATCCAGAGAATTGGTGATATTGTGATGATTGACCGACAAATGACAAGACATCATATTGCTAGTTCAGTAGGCATTTCCTGGAGAGTGTACATTCTTGTATCTGCAAAACGTTGACAATGAAGAAGAATCTGCTGGTACAGTTCCTGACATTTTCTGACATCTTATAAATAATGCATAGGCACATGTCTTGTGATGACTCAGTTCTGTTTCAAGCTGACCGAGAAAGGTTCTTGCAGTCATTTGTGACTATGGATGAACCTCAGTCATAACAGCCATCAAAACAATGGAAGAATTCGACATCAGTCCAGATACTCCTGCATTGCATAGGGTGTCATCATAGTGGAATATCTTGCAAAAGGCCAGACAATAACTGGAGCATAATATGCTGCCGGTTTTAGAGTTTTTGGATAAAATTAAGACTGAGACATGAGAAGCTTAGAAATGGTCTGCTCTTCCATCAGGACAATGCAACAGGGAACAAATCAGTCATTGTCATGGCTACAAACCAGAGTGTGGCCCTTAACCCCTTCAGCACCCATCTTAATCTCCTGATCTGGCTTTGTCAGAATTCCATCTGTTCCTGAATATGAAGAGAGCTATATAGCTATATAGCTCTAGGCTCTCAAAACCCATTTTGAATGAATGATGTTTCATAGCACCTGTGGAGAACCTTCTGAACAACCATGAGAAGGAAAGAGATGCTAAAAATCTATAAACAAATGTGGATAAAGCTCCTCCACGATCATCAGCAAAAGTGTCAAAAATGTATGTGGAAGTGGATACATTGAACAAGAAATTATGTTAATGTATTGATGTCTTCTATAGCAGACTCAAAGCTCATAAGTCATTCCTTCTATATCATAATGAAACTGATGTTACTCCAGTAGAATATTCCAGAAATAATACAGATCAGGTGCAAAACAATTTCTGTGTATAATGAGTCTCCTTTTTCAGTTTGATAGATGAAACAGTACCTTATCAGAGATGAATTTGATGTTTTAGTGAGCCACTCTTTTGGGTTTGGACTGATGGATGCAGCCGCCATGGTACAGCGTGCCCGCAACTGGACTACCGTCCCCGCTCAGCAGATCTGCGAGATCAGATCAACAGTAACAAACAGGTTTCCGGATCCTTAGTGAAGGATAAAGCCTTCCATGAATTCTTCTCACTGAACAGTTGACAGGGCTGAAACCTCAAAATTTAAGTATCTCAAGGTCAATTTGAGATAAAAACATGGATGGAAGTTTTCCTTTTTTTAGGAGGATTCTTTAGGTTGCATTTTGGCCCTTTCTTCTGTGTCTTATATTGGTAACATTTCTTCAGTGTGTGAATATACATTGAAAATTCTTGAAATTTACAATGAAAGTTGAATGCATAAACTGTCCTTAAATAGAAATGACAGATAACAATTAAGAAATATAAATATAAATAATTATGAATATTAGTATCTTATTTCTAAGCAAATGTAATTTTTTACAAATGCAAATGTCTCATTCTGAAATCTTGTTCATAACCAAAGCTAATCATCATTCAGTTTATGATATATAATAGTGCAGTATTGTTAGTTACGTTAAAACATTTAAGTACATATTATGCTCATTTCTCAACAGACAAGTTCCAATGAATGGCAGAATTATGGTACCACTGATGACAGACGGCTGTATGGGCAATGTCAATCACGTGAAATTCTTGGAGCATGTGCAAGCTCGCATCACCATGTCCTCTAACCGACGAGGAGAGCTTCAGATCTTCTTGACCTCCCCACAAGGGACAAGATCAACCCTCCTTGCCAAGAGAACTAGGGACAGCTCTCGAGAAGGATTCAATAACTGGGCTTTTATGACAACTCACAACTGGGGCGAATATGCAAATGGAACATGGACACTTGAAATAGAAAATGGTGCAAGTTCGTGTGAGTAATGAATTTTGTGGTTTTGATGATATTTCTGTAGATAATGATATAACTGTCATCCCACTGGCATTGTAAGCTTATTTGATATAGTCAAGTCATGTCAGTTTGTGATACATTTTGCATGATCTGTGGTCAGATGTGGGGTAACCACTGTGCTTTGCTCACTAGCTATGTAAAGGGAGATAACTATGTTCAACAAGTGTATGGCTAAAATGGCCTTTATTTGTAGAAAGTGAGAAATATTTTAACTGATGTTGCTATATTTAATTGTTTGACTTAAAGTTGTACTATCATTGATTTGATTGTTTTTGTTTTGAGGTTGTTAAATAATATCTTGTAGTAAACATACCCATTTTGTCAAGTACATAATTTCTTTTTCTTCTCAAGTATTTTCTGAAACAAACATTTTAATCATAGTTCCCAAAGTGAAATTCAACAACATTTTTCAGTGTATCAGTTGAGAAAGTAGAATCTGTATCATGTCCAAAATGTTTGTTTTTTTAATCCAAGGTACTTGACACTCTGAGAGATAATACATATTAGAGATAATTGCATAATGATTTAGTTGATTGGCTTAGCATGGCAGAGAAAAGCGTTTGATAAATTCTTATCAGTCTGGTGCATGTCAGCATGAGCAGAACCGAACACATCCACCATCACAACCATCTTTCGAGCAGAACCAAACACATCTACCATTAAACCATCTTGTATCTTTTCTACGGACTGTTAAGGTGTCATATTGTATTGGGATCTTAATGTGGATGCAAGTAGTGGCTGCAATTAACACTTTTGTTATTAACTATAAAGTCCACTTGTTAATGTACATTAAGTTTGTGTTCAAACGAAATTATAACTATTTGGGAGGGGGTTATCACAAGTGATGATTGATCCCTATCTCTGACAGAAGGGCCGACATATGACAACATTTCAGAATTAAGTTGGAATATGGAAATGTTTTGTTGATACTGCTATTTCTGTGATTACTTTTGATTAAATCTGATCACTCTCATTAAAACTCTGCTAAACAAAATCTTAGGGTGTCCCTTTCATGTGATGTCAGAATAACCTTTCATGAACTTTGACCTATCAATGAAATGACTAACACCTAACATTGGCCAATCAGAAAGCAGCATTCTTGAACTAAACTGCTCTTACTTATTACAAAATACAAAGTTCCCTCACTTTCCTAATTTTGTGAGCATGCTCTGATTGGTCAGATGAAAGGTTGATCTGACATGTCCGTCCTGTGTGGGGGATGTCTCAGATGTTTGTTTAGCTGTAGCTGGAACAAAGATCTAATATTAAAGAGTTTGATATTCGGTTGGTTTACAGAACTGTCTCTTTGAAAAATATCTGACTTTGTTTTCATCATGTCTTGCTTTCCATTGCAAAGATGCTCTCTATCACTGATTATCACTTAAATCGCAAAGATGCTATCTACCATTGATGTTCACTTCATTAACCATTGTTTGTATAACCTACATGTAAATACTTACTGGCAATGCAAGGTGTGGAAAGAGAAATAGTGATTGAAGCAGTTGTAAACCAGTCTTGTAAAAAGCAGAAAATCAGGTCTTTTGGAAAAAAATCTGTCTTATTCATCTCTTGCTTTCAATTGCAAAGATGCCATCAAGATGCTACTTATTGAAGCAGTTGTAAAACTTGTATTATTGTTAAAAGCTGAAAATGACACTTGGATCTTGATGACATAAGAAAAAAGTGAAATGATAGCATGTACATAATAAATAGTCTGGTCACTCAAAATCAGCTGTTAAAATCAGCTAATCAATACATGTATTTGTATAATGTTCTGATCAACACAACACTGAAAAAATGGTCTTTTGTGGCGAAATATTAAATATCAAAGTCAAAGCAGGTACCAATCATTGCTTGATGATCAAGGATGTCACATATTCGTCTTATTAAGGTATAAGTAATATCGCTTCTAAGACCATTTCTAAATACAGTGCATTGTTTCACCGATAGATGCTATTGAATTTTGGCATTTGTTCATTGTTCAAGCAAATGCACATGCCTGCTACTCTCCGTTTTATTAATTTAGACATTGTCATGAAAGAGAGAAAGTTTGTTTGACAAATGATCATGTACCTGTTGGCGAATCATGTAACTATTGGCTGCAAATGGACTGTAAACAATACAGAAACGTAGTTGTAGTAACAAAGTACAACATGAGTTTGATCCTCCAGACCATCTGATGTGTGGTGTGTGTATGGCAAGCAAATAGGGGATTATATGAAAGTCATTATTGAAATAATTTCAGGAGTACTAAAACACTGGATTAAATGCAATAATGAAAATGGTCCAGTTGTGAGTAATGTTCAAGTTACCTTGTACAAAGTAACATGTGAAGGGAATTACATGTAATTAAGTTCAAATTATTTGAAGGAAATGCCAAGATAAATGCATAATTCTATAACATTTATGTCCGACTGCCACAAGTGTGTTATGTTAATAAGATAATATGATTTGGAAGAATGATCTCCAGGTATGCTCAGCTAAGCTGTGAACTGAATTATTTAATATTTTTTCATGCCACAAAAAGCTGTAATATTGCTGATGATGGTTTAAACAATATATCTTTGCCACTCACTCGAGGCCAGATGAAGCAAACTATGAGTGTTAGAATTTGTTTCTGAGGATAGTTTAGACTGGGTATTCCTTTGCACTGATGTTCTATATTTACTGTATGGCCTAAGTACAAATCTGGACAAGTACAGGTTTCTTGAGCTGTGAAGGAGATGAGTGAGTGAGTGAGTTTAGTTTTATGCCACACTCAGCAATATTCCAGCTATACGGTGGCGTTCTGTAAATAATCAGGTCTGGACCAGACAATCCAGTGATCAACAGCATGAGCTTGGATCTATGCTATTGGGATACAGTGACATGTGTCAACCAAGTCAGCAAGCCTGACCACCCGATCCCGTAAGTTGGCTCTTACTACAAGCATAGGTTACTGAAGATCAATTCTAACCTGGATCTTCACGGGTTGGAAAGGAGATGACTGATGAGAATGGAATGGGGATTGTTGTTGTTGTGGGTTCTATAGGAAAGACAAGACAGACTGTAGCTGCTCAACATCCCAGGATTGATTCCCCCTCATGGGTACAATGGATGAAGCCAATTTAAATCCCTCATTTTGTTAAGTCTGGAATAAAGATTAAAGAATCCTAAGACCATACTGTACACAATATGAGATTAAATATATGTGTGAAGCAAGAATGCAATATACTGGACACCTTCTTTCCTGAGTAAGATTTGCACATGAGCTACTTCAAAAGTAGCCTAACTGTTTTTATATTTCTCAGAGGCCATATCTTACTGCCTCACTAAACAGAGGTTTGGCGGCTTGCCCTTCATGCAATGACTAGTTTTATAGATGATGTAATGTGTAGTACCAAAGTTAATACAGAATATGTGTTATGAAATGTAGCAGTGATTGATGTCACTGATGCTGTTCTTTAAAACTTCTATTCTCATGAACTTTTTCAATTTTTATGTTCTTTTTTTAAATATTTTTGGATTGCTTTGATATTCAGTTTCGAGTTTTAATCATGTTAAGCCAGAAATGTGCAACCAGTTTTTTTTTTCTGCTCAAGTTCTACCCTTTTTTAAGTAGCAATGCTGTCATGTGCAGCTATGTTTGCAGTATAAAAAAAAACAGAACAAAAACAACATGGTTAATAGGCGTCTGGTAACATGCATGTGTACCTGGCCTAAATATAAGCGGAACTGTATCACCAATTTAACAAGAAGCTAATGTGAGTCAGCGTCACAGTGTTGGAAGTAACTGCAGATTATTTTGTGAATTACATTTTGGTTTTACATTTACTTATGAAGTCTTCAGTGTGTCTTTAGTATTTTCTCCAAAGAAGAGTGTTAAACAGTTGTATCTGTTGAATTTTGTAAGACAATTAATTATTCCCACAAATGTGATACTTCTGCTCTATCTGCATGCACTGCACTTACTTGTCTACTAATGTTTTATCAACTGAGGACTGTTATTTTTTCCAATATCTACCTTTTAAATGAGTGATATCAGCTTCATGATGACAATTTGGCCAAATCAAAGCCTTTGTATAATTAATCAAGTATCTCTTTCAAGCAAAGTTAGACCCAAGATTATTCAGGCCTTTGTAGATATAGCACTCTTGAAGACTATGATAAGAAGTAAACTTCATTTCATTACTTTACATATTGCATTGTCATTTGCTTCTATACTCATGAAAACATATGATCTTACTTTTACAATTAGTTTGTTTGAGAAACCTATAGTGCCAAATAATGCATGAAGCTCATATTGCTATCTTTCAGCTACAGTATGCACATTCATGCTTCTTGAGAGAAACTGTAACTTTATTGTCTAAGTTACCAGATACTCACTACCTTACATTTTCATTCTTGGGGCCCAAGTGCCGATTATGAAAATTGCAGTATGTGACCAAAAAAACGCAGTAAATGAATGTAACATTTCATACTAGACATTCTGAATGAATGTAGTTAAAGAAAATAATATGTGGAATTTGGCAGTTCCGTGAATTCTATGTACTGACTAAACATGATTTCATCCTTAAAATAATTACAGAAATCAAAAATGTTTGATTATATCTCAGAGTTGATAAATCTTCAAATATCATTTAAATTCTGTTAAACAGAATTTGTTAAAGATAAACAGTTTCAAAATGAAAAGTACCTATCGTTTCATCATGATAATTTTGACAGAATAAGTGGAAGTAACTATGAAATGAATATCAAACTACTCATACCAATAATAAGATATCTAATAAAACAGGTTTGTAAAATACACTATATATTTTCACCACCATCCTGAAAGTAGCCAAATTTAGCTTTTCAGTTTCTCTTTAATAGGAATGGTGGTACCCTTTTCACATTCTCCATCTGTTGTTTATATGCCATTCATTCTCACAAGGCATTTTCAAAATCATTTCATGTCTTCACTTGTGGTTCAAAATCACTTAAATTTTTTATTGTCTTTCATCATTTTGATATTTTGCAAGAACTTCCACTTCTATTGGTCATGTTATTTGACTCCAGTCTTGTCATGACAGCACAATGTATTTCACTGTAGAAGAACTTATGATCACTGTGCACAAAGAATATGGCTAGACTGATAGTAAGAAAGTTAGTGCATGCTCAGACACACTCGGACAGTAGCAACTAGCTTTGCATGTAGGTATATTTTGCTCTCACAAGATAAGCATGCAGTATATTTAGATATCAGTGTACTTTGAATTATGCCTTTCCAAAAGCATGGTAGCCTCAAACATTGTGCAGGTTATCACACTGGTTTTAGACTGACAATTATGAAAAAAATGAAAGAATCAAACTGTTAATTCACATTTCCTTTTTTATGTATATAAAGACTAACACCTTAACCATACTCACTTGTACAGAGGAAAACATTTTTGAAATAATTTGTAGTCAAGTTGTTGACATTTAACATTGACATTGAATAAAATGAATTTTATGATTTCAGCCTAGTTAGAATTTGCAGGAGAGTTATTGACAGTATGAAAAAGTGGCTGCATGTAAAGTGTTTTCCTCTTGGAGCAACCAAGGTCAACTTATGTTTTATCTACTATGATGGTTCAGAAAATGTTGCTGATATCATATCTGGTCCATCTGTTGACTTTACCTTGTGTTGATTAAGACTGTAAGCTGAGATAGACAAACTGATTTGAAAATACTACTGAGATCCTAATAATGAATTGTACATGTAAATATGAAAATGATGATGTATCGTATACAGGTAATTATTAAAAACTTATGATTAAGACATTTGATAAGCTAGCAAAATAACCCTCTGGATACTGATGTTTTCGGACATTGCACAAGGAGTTGTCTTTCTCTGTTGACCTTGGACTTGCATATTGGGTGATGTGGTGTGATGTTTGTTTCTGCTAACCTCTAACCGTGTCATCTGTGATGATAGTATTGTCCCTTTCTGTTTGTTTGCAGTTCGAGCTGTTAGATTGAGGGACTGGGTACTAGTATTATACGGGACTGATAGTCATCCATGGAAAAAGCAGCATCCGCCTCCTCGTCCCCCCAAAGCCATCACATCCACTCAGGCGTCGTTCACTAACCACTTTTCGTACATGCGTACCCAGTCTCCTAATAGCCGTATGTCCCATCGACCCTCAACTCCAAAACCGAGAATCACCACTACTCGTAAGAAAGGGAACAAACACTTTGACCCCAGATGGGGATACAATAATGTGTATATCAACCCTTCTTCAAAAACTACTACCTATGTACATGACAAATCAAACTTCCGTCATCAGCCACACACATGTGTGTACGAAACTCTTGCCAAAAAGTCCAACATGTCCGCTCTGCAGTACATCAGGATGGTTCGCCCCAACCTGACGGCAGGCAAGACTTAGTGTTGTGTACCTCTCAATTACCTCTGTGGTTGTGGTAGATGTCCTTGGTTTTGCTGTGTTTTCATTGGATGTTGCTAACACTTGCCCTTGTTTCATTGGCTGAGTCAAATGGTTACTATACATCAGCTGGATGATTTGAATTTTGATTTAGTTTCTGCCAGTATTCACTGTCCTGTGATTGGATGATTCCATCAATGTTGCAGTTTGATTGGCTGTCTGATTCAGGCTCCACATCCAGCATGTTCTTCCTTCCTTTGTTGTGATCATTGAAAAACGGCTTCACTTTGCATGATGTTCTCGTCCCGTACATCAGATGTCATCAGCATGCTCATAAACTATGACCTCAATCAACTCAAATTACTTACTGATACCCAATGTTCTGCATTTGCTCTTTTCATCTATTCAATTATATTCGTTTAAAGATGTTACAAGTCTCTCAAAGTCTGTAATTTCCATTTTGATCTACATTACTTCTGCAAACTATCAAACAACTGAAGGACTTTTAAACTGATCTCTACCTTATACTGATTTTTCATTCAAACGAATAAAGAGGAATATTTCTCATCTCGGTTATGGTTAAAGAAGGTATTTCCATCTCTAGTGAATGAGGAGGTACCAGTAGTTGTCTGTTCCACCTGTTCATTGCTGAATTATTCTGTGTCCAGCTAATGGTCATTTCAGTTCTGGATGCATCCTCATGAAAGTACATCTCTGACAGCTCTGCCCATTTTAACAAACCACATATGCTTGCCTTTGCCATACAGTTTTCATTCTTGATCAGATAACAACTGCTGATGAAACAGTTTATGTATGTTTGATGACTGTACAGTAATCATATATTGTATTGCTTCTAGTTACCAAAGCATATGTTGCTTCACATACACTCAGACATAGTCACATCAACTTGGAACATGATAATATTGTGTTTTTGATACTCCTTTCGCTGATTGTAAATTGCCATTCTCTTCGCTGATTTCAAATTTACTTTCAAACTTGTATAATTTGCAATAGTTTAACAGATGATATTACTCATTTGAAAGATATGATACAAGAGAACTGTCTTGCCACAATGGTGCATGTAATGGTAATGAAATTTGATAAAAAAGATACGAATATCAAGTAGATCTCAAACAAATATGCTTATGGCAGCAGTGGGTAAGTACAACATTTTGTAAGGACACATGAAGCAGATAAACTGCATGCTAATCTGGAAAAAATGAACATGAATATAAATAATGGGGAATTATTTGTCATTATGTCTGTTCTTTATCATTCATCCTGATAGACAGCAGATTGATTACCATAAGAAGCTGTTCATTTGTAACATAGCAGCTGGCATTTGTAGATGGTCTAAATGACAGATGCTTGCTGTGCTCCCAATGCAGAAAAATACAAACAGATCATAATGACCTGTTCATTTGGAATCGTGATTAATTATGGGACAGAACGCCTTAATCCAAGCACTGTAACAATATCTTTACAATGGTCCAATAATATTTGTAACATAAGAGAAATTTATCAAATCAGATTTTGCATATCATACAAGGCCTTACATAAATTATACAAATAAATACACAAGAATTTTTTCAACCAGTCATACATAATTATTGGATGAGAGACTCACTCTATATATGCAGCAAACATTAACAGGCCCTACCAATTTTGTTTTCATAATGCACCCTATCACAAAGCAGTTTGTAAAAGAAGAAAATGTCAAATTTGTTAATAACCATCGACTTGGTCATCTCTTTGGTGCCCCATGGTTGATCTAGCGCTGACCCATCCAGTGACAAATGACTGGTCTGAAACTGAGAACATATGGCAGCTTTAAAGTTGTGTCATTGCTGAATGTTGTGGATTGCATGTGTGTTGATGTGTCGCATTGGAGTAGCAGACTGAGGTTTTCATTGATACATGGTGGCATGCACCAATAGCACATATATATACTTGTACCTGACTGTCATATAGCTAGAAACATATAGTTTGTAAGTAATATATTGAGTAAAGAACTTCATAAATCATTTCCATGTTTGTAAATTGCCATCCTTTTTCATACATACTTTTGGTATATTTAGTATTTCATTAGTAGTTTTATCACACACAGTACGGTATCATTTTTTCATCATTCACAAAAACTTGTATGTTTTGAACCATTATATTTATGTAAATGATCTTACATGGCTGTTTATGATTATCGAGAAACTTAGTCAAAATGACAAGGAGAATGTCACATAAAAAAAAAAAACAATACAAACACAATATGTAGAAATATGCCAAATTTAGGGGGAAATCTGTTAATTTTTATGTTTTGGTTATTGATATCCTGTATGGTACATCACAAAAATATTCAAAAACAGATGTAATTCATACATAGCATGGGATGTGTCAAGTGTCGGAACACTCACATCCATACCTAATTTGGGGAAACGTTTCAACGTGATGAGATGTAGATCATTCTGACACATGATCAATCAAAGATTTAAGATCAGTTAAAATGATGATATTGTTTAGAAAATGAGTTACATTATTGGAAACAACCTGGCCAATTTGGAATTGCATGTTTGGCCAGTGCATGACAAAGGCCACCTAACCGATTAACCGTTTCTTTGTCGATGTTATTGCAGTCTCACAGAGCAGCACAGCTTTTGCTTATATCCTATGGTAGATGCCTTTCTCATATTGTAACACTGCAGTTTCATGCAGCAAGGGACTTTTTTCACTTTTCAACTCATGTTATTTAAGACCATTTTTTGTAAATTTGTTGTTTGCTATGGAAAATTCTATTGATTTTGATGTGCTTTTGATGTATTGGTTTCTGTATATATTTTTCTCTCTCTGAAATTAGAAGTATTTGGCACACTTGAAAAAAAACCTTTTGAACCTTTTTTTTCCCACAAACATTGTGGTTTGTGATTTAAAAATGATTGTTTCAAAAGCTACATTCTTTCAAATCTTTTCTGTAAAACAAATGTAATATTAATAAAGTTTTTTCTTTCTAAATTTGAAATTTATTCATTTATTTTGCAATATTAAACATGCATTTTCCCCATTCATTTGTTACCCCTTTCTGCATGCAATATCCCCTCCCTGATAACACTGCGTGTTGACACACCCCTACTTACAATCTACCAAAACCACGAAATATTGTTCCAAATTGGTAAACATATATCTATAAAAATCTCTGTGGCAAGAAGGTAAGTGCAATGGCTGATGGGTTAGCCAGCTTATGTGAGACTGCTTACCAAACGACTGGTAATTAGTTCATGGCTGGTATTGTCATGCATTGGTTAAGATTTTGAAGTTCACTATTTTATTTCTTGATTGTTTTTGTGTAGCTCTTTACGAGGTATATGCATTGTCTTCATTTTTTTCCCTTGTATTACTGGTGCAAAAGAAAATATCTGATGACATAATGAACATATTTTCAACAATCAGATGTTGATTTAAACATGATTCCATGTGTAAGATGTTTTTTCCATATAAACCAAACTGAAGTTTTGAAATCTTGATATAATACTCACTGAAGACAACTTGAACATGTTGAAAGGAGTGAATAGATTGAAATACTGTGAATATTAAGAAAAAGAGCACTGACTTTCCTATTCATGTGACTATTTGATGGCAATTAATTTATTGAATGAAACTTCTTATTTTTCAGCGGAATTAAAAGAATGGACCATGGTTGTCATGGGAACAGGAGCTCATCCTCTGAAACAGAATGTGACACCTTATCCGAAAAACAAGCCACCTTTTACCTGTGCAGGAGTTACCTCCCATGGCATCTGTATAGGTGTGTGTATATTACCTTATCTTGTTCTGGGACTGTTCAGCAGCATTATTCACATTCCGGGGCTTTCATGACACTTGCCCTTACTCTGAATATCATCATGGTAGATGTAAATACAAAGATCACTCTGTGGATGGTATGATGGTGTAAGGCTATGTGTACTGTATATTATTGTATAGGTCTGGTGGTGTTTTCCCAAGTGTATATTTGTACTTTATGTTACCTCATTTTATTCTGTAGGAGAGATTAAACATACACTGCTGTACATAACCTGTTCAGCTTTAAGTGATTTAATTGGGTTTATTTTCATATTTTAAGTTTTTCTCATACTGTGTGTGAAATTGCAGTTACTGCATGATGTCGATCAAATCTTCTCTTCTTTTATAAACATTCAAAGTCTATCACAATGAAAATTGTAATTTAATTTAATTTTGTAACTTGATTAAAGAAATGAATTCATTCAGCTGATTCAGAACAGTTGAACTTATTGTATAAATACTGCAATGGTGAGAATGGAAACAGATTTAATGTATCATTTGTGTAACTAATCACCATGCAGTTAGCAATCATAGAGAGACAGTACATCTTACTATATTGAACTTTCAATGCGGTTGAATCCCATGGTCATTGAATCTTAAGAACCTGTAAATTCTATACCTTTTAAAATTAAGGACCCTTTGACATTCATGCTTAATTTCGAATGTTGTATTGGGGGTGATGATATCATGAAAAACTTTAGTCTCACATCACAGTGAGATATTACTGACATTCAGGATGCTGTTAGTTTGAGTTCCTTTGTTGATGAATTTGTTATATTGTTTTAATCTGAGGAACTCCAAACGCAATATATGATTGTTGTTTCAATACTTTTGTTGCTATTTTACAAGCAAATCCATCCCTATTTATCTTTTTCATACATTTTCCTTGTTGACTTGAAAACTGCCTTGGAGTGCATAGTTTCATGTACATTGACTAATGTCAGCTCATTGAAGAGAGCAGGCATGGAATTCTCTGCCTGAATATGGCCTGATTATTGCCTATGATTTCATCCAATATATGTTAGTTACAAGGAATACTCATATAAGCTCAAAGACTTTATCCATCAGGAATTTGGAGGGACATTTGTAGACACATATCTAAATGAGTATATACAAATTAGAAACATCCCTTATAGCTTCCATCTCCATATCACATGGCTATTACCTGAATTCTATGATAGTATGAAGAACTACAGGTGTTCATTTTCATTCTTTATACAACTTCAATCAGTTGACCAGCATAAACTCAGTACTCACGTTATAGGGCAACAGATTATCAAGAGTATAGAACTTTATGGATTACAACTTCTTCATTTGGTGAGAGCGACTTTTCGATACAGATTCTTGTACATTGTCAAGCACGAATATGAAATGAAATTATCACTCAAAACTGGACTATTGCAATTAACATGGAAGTGAAATGAAGTCAAACTATAAAATAATTATTGTTGTCATCATTTCTATGCAGTTGTAACAATATTACTTCCACTGATTGAAAAATGTACTTGGTGTTAATCAGATAACCTTCTTGAAATGCAGTCTATATGTAGGTTATCTGTTCATTTCATTCCACTTTGTTGTAACTTCAATCTGAAGATGGAAATCATGTGTATTAAATTTATCAACTTATAAATGTGTTAGTGTGCATGGGTATTGTGTGTGTCAGGATGAAGTGTCATCAGTAATCCATGAATGAATTAATGTTTGACAAAACACTTTTAAAACGTTTTAAGTCACATTTAATGTAGTAATTGATTTTTAACATGTATGAATGTTTTCAATGAATGTTTTGTTCCATTTATGTGTTGCACTCCAAGCAACAATTTCAAACCAATATTTGACTTTGTATGAAAAAGGTCAATAGCTATTCCTTTACAGAATACTGAAGCTTTCCTCTGCCCCCTCCATGCAGTAAAATGTGACATACAAGGGGATTGGTTGTCCACAAGGCCTTCTGAATATTTATGATTAGTGAAAAACTAAATAGACCAAGTCTTCATTCTGATCTGGTTGAATAAGCTTACCATTGTCTCAGATCAGTCTCCCAAGCTTTGATCCCTGGTTTGCCATGTTTCAGTTGAAAACCCTTTATACCTGTACTTGTCAATATATATGCAGGGATGTCGGGACCAGATGGAACCTGTATCTTAGCTAATGATGGTTTAAAAATATTTTGACAGGTTTCATGTGCGCTCTATTTAAAAGTAAAGCATTTTCATGGCCAATTTTTGTGCCATATTTGATACATTTTGTAAAAGTAGAGTGAGAGCACAGCAGTTGTCAAACAGATATGCAATTAATTAAACCCTAAAAGAAATTTCAGTATGCTAAAATGAATTAAATTAGGAACAATTACATGTATTGTTAGTAATTGTTAGTAAACTTACCTCTGGATTATGGTAGCCTTATTCCTGTGGATACACAGAATACATACAGAAAATCAAAATATATTTTAACACTAAGTCATAGGTTATACTAGTGGTGTACCTAATCTACCCCTGAGTTAACTCCCTTGATCCTGACGTCACTGTATTGTTGTCCTAGAACCCTTCATAATTTTTCTAAAAACAACACATCTATGACATCTTCTAAGGATAAATTCGCGGGGAGGACACAGGGTGGAAACTACTCCCCATTGTCCAGAGGTAAGCTAAGTAACAATTACTAACAATACATGTAATTGTTCCTAATTATAACATTCCCTCTGGATTATGGTAGCCTGAATCCCAAGTAAGGAAGGAGGGTTACCCTTGGAAGATACTACCCTCTATACCACTAACTGAGAGTTGATTACTCAACCTCCTAAGAATAACTATGACTTAGTCAGAGATAAATAATTTATCTCCAGATTGGTCAGTAGCAGTGAGGGAATACATTCCCAGAGATGGTGAGTCTTCTAACTTCCCACAGTTATGGTTGATATGATAGATATCATGATAATCCTAATCCGTATTAGTAGGAATTATATAATTCCTGACGCCATAAAACCGGATTACGCTAGATTCCTATGAATATATCATGATTCTATTCGATTCCCGAATTGTGTCAATAAACCTAATATTCCTTAATATTATGACGTCATTTCTGGTAATTATGACGTCACTTCCTGTTTGATGACATCACTTCCGGTCTAATGACCTCACTTCCGGACCCTAGAAATAATCTCTATGATGTAATACTAACTAACCTAGATGACATCACTTTCGGTTAACTGTCATTAGACTATAAATGTGCTTAACTCAAACCTTAAGGTAACCACCTTGAGCTAGTAAATCATATTCTAACCTGAAGCCATCAACCATAGCTCAGAACTTAGAAACTATATCCATATTGTGCTCGGTTTGGTGATACATCTAAATGTAAATTCTCTTACCATGTCAACTTGTCCAGTATCCATCCATCATCCTTCCGAGTGGTCCCTCAGACAGTCCCAGGCACCATCTCTCACTGCGTAAACCTTCCTGAAGATGTAGATGCCAGGTCAACACCCCCACCAAATGCCAGATACTTTAGAGAAGTGTCCTGCATAGGCTCATAAGGAGATTTTTGAAGAGATTGAAGTACTAACGTTAAATCCCACTGTCGTTGGAGACGATATATCCTTAATCTGAAAGGATCTGATCATTTTGTGAAGCGATGTATCCGAGCCCACAGATAAACCTTGAACGTCCATGACTGAAGCAATAGCTGATCGATATCCCTCAATAGTATTATGCTTCAAATGTTTCTGTTCCCTTAGGAACAAGATAAAATCCGCTATCATTGGAATGGTGACAGTCACGTCCAAGATTCCACACTCTCGTCTCCACTGGATGAATTGTCGCCACTTAGCGTCGTACAAGGCAGCTGTGGAAGGTCTAACTGATTCTGAAATAGCTCTGGTAGCTTCAACCGTAAATCCCTGTTTCCTGAGTGAACTTGACATAGCTTCTATATGTGTAGCGCAAGTTGCCTGACATTCTTGTGAAATCTGTTGGACTTGGGTTGACTGATTAGATTGTGCCACAACGGAAGACCTAGAGGTTTGTCCACTAATAGCTGTAGTAGAGTGGGAAACCAAGGTCTGGCAGCCCACGCTGGTGCCACTAGATAAACTAGACAGTCGTGTTGTTGAATTTTTAACAGAACCTCTGGGATTAGTTTGAACGGAGGAAACGCATAGGCTATCATTCCCTCCCACGATATGGATAGGGTGTCGACTGCCCATGCCAATGGATCCGGTACTGGGCTCACAAACGTTGGTATCCGAAAATTCCTGGAGGAGTACATTCGGTTGAGATCACTCTGCCTGTCGAGATAATGAGTCCGCAAAGATATTCTTCCGACCTGGAATGTGGTATGCCCTGATTAAACAATTTATAGCGTCCACTGCTTGATACAGATCCTGAGTGATCCTGATGAGATTTGGTACCTCCCTGTTCGTTGATGTAAGCCACTACCGTAGAATTGTCCGACACTAACATGAGACTCTTCCCGTATAAGCGATTCCCCCAGCAACGGATCGCTTTTAACAGCGATAACATCTCCCGACAGTTTATATGCAGATTCACCTCTGACAGATTCCTCACACCTTGAATCTGCCAGATGTCCATGTGTGCATCCCAACCTGTGTTCGAGGCATCCACATAAAGCGTCAGATCCGGTAAACGAGGACGTAATGAAACTCCTGCCAACACATTCACATCCACCGTCCACCATAATATCTCCCTTGGGACTCTTTCTGGAAAAGCTATGAGAAGTTCCAAGTCCTCCATCTGAAACTGGTTGAGCCAGATCTGCGGGATTCTCAACCTTAGTCTTCCTCTTACAGTATAATCCTGGATTGAAGTGAGAGATCCCAGAAGGGACATCCATGAACGAACTGATGCAGCTGGCCTCTGTAACATGTTGGTTGTCTTGGTTGATATTTCCAACCAACGATCCTGAGGAGTATAAATACGGCCTGTTCTTGAGTCCAAGATTGCT